TCAGTTACTTTCGACGTTGTTGTGGTTAGATATTCTTGCTGGGTGATAATGCCAGTTTAATGAGAGAACCAGTTCGAGATTAGCAGAATTGAAAAACTGGGTTCGTGAAAAGTAAGAACCTTACGATTACAAAGTAACATAATGCTTCAAACATACGACTAGTTGCTGCTGAAAATAAGCACATGTAATTCAAACCAGCACAGCGGTATGCTCAATTAGTGCAAATTAAAAAACAGCGTTGGCCGTCAGAGAATTCAAATCCTTTATTTCCCTGCTACAAATAAACCAGTTAAAAGTGTATATTTTTTTACTTGTTATGTCATCTTGGATTTAATTGCTCATATCAAATTTCACGCCTTAATGTCAAACAAACAATATTGTTAGCAAACGAGCGTAATCAAATAGCTTTAATTTAAATGTCACAGGTCAAAGAGAATTACATTCCTGGAAAACGTAATGCACAGATTGCCGGGGAAAATATGAGCGTCGTTGGGCGAGATAAAATAAACTAGTAGTGCTAATACAGCACGTAACTTCTTCCCCGTAGTATCTCTCAAAATTATGCGTACAGTGCTCAAATTTTAGAAAAAGTGTGCATGACCTTATTTCAAAATCTATCTTTGAGGAACAGATTTCATGAAGGGATTTTTTTTTATTTTAAACATTTGACTTGTAGGAAGACGCAAAAAAAAGTGGACTTTTTTCAATTTTTCTAAAATCAGTTTTCAAGGACAAGGAGAACTGCACCATCCTCTTAAACATCCTTATCACTATCCAACAACCATATTGAAAAAAGACAATGAGTCATTTTTTTGGAAAATTTGAAAATGTCCCAGGGGCTTCAAGAAAAGTTCCTCCAAAATTAAAATATCGCTATCAAATTCAAGGAGTCGCGATTTCAGCCAGATCGAGTGGGTAATATCAATTTTGGACAGCACAGAACTTGGATTCTGGCTACACCACGTGTTACAGGATTTCTCCCCTAAATTTAGCAACTGGATTGATCCACTTCGTTTCCAGGGCCCTGTAATAAGATTTTTTTGCAGAAAGTTCGTTTTTCGCGCAGCATTACTTTTGCGTAGCAGTAGCGAGAAAGTAAAAATCAGTAGAATTTGGAACGTTCTTTTAGGAAAATTGTGATCCTCTCCAAAAAGAATTCTTCGAGGAACATGGCAACATTCATGAAACTTGCGCGAGGAAATTAAAGCATCTGGGCGCAGGCCAGCATGGGAAAACAAAAATTCAATCCAGTCCATTCCGGACAGATCACTTCGTGTCGTCATTTCCCTGACTCAGCTCGGAACCCGAACCCACCGAGAAATAAACACCGACGTTAAGCTCGCAGTTATCGCTCACGAGTTTAATGTTACATGAAAAGCAGTAGCACAGGCGTAATTCTGGGGCAAGTAGCGAAAATGTCCATTTCGTCAACTGCAACGCAGGAAAAATTATAGTAAATTTAATTTAATTAACGTTAATTTAATTTAAGTTAATTAATTAACACTTCAATATTTCTGACTGTCTTCAAGTCTACATACTGGGAAAACAAAGAAACAGTTGTGGCAGAAATAGCGTAAGTTGATAATTGCGGTATCAAAACTTTCAAAACATGCGATGTAACATGTGTACAGGTCCATATTGTGGTTTTATAAAAAATATATAGTTGCTTTTAATAGAAGGTGGATACGTAATTCTAGAAATATTAAATGAACAATAAATAATTTACCCTCGTACTTCCAAGCTTAGTGGATAGCTTAGTAGAAGAAGAAGAATTTGAAATCAGCGGGTCTCCATTCACGGCGCAAAGGTGGTAAAATAAGAAAGGCAAGGTTCAATATTTTTCCGGTTATCCGTTAATTCCAATTAGCTGAGATACAAACTGAGTATTACAAACTCAGTAGCACGAGGTCCTAAGGCACTTCTAGAGAAAATAATTCAGAATAATGTTGTACGATTAGTTAGACCTTTTGGCAGAAGCACATGTCAAGCAACCTAATTTTACATTGATTGGGTTTAATATATCAAGGTTTTGCATATTATTTCGTTTGGATTAAAAGCAGTGCAAATTTTGCAACCGGATTTCATGAAACAGTGCGTGAAACAGCCTTTAAAGCGTCTTATTTAGACTTAAATTCTATTTACATTGATTACTTACGGCCTAGCTCACAAACTATATACGAACTAATCTAAATCTACATCTTACCTTAATACAACCCCGAATACTATTTATATTATTTGCACTGGCCAACATTTAGTCCTGAATGTTCTCATGTGAAAAGTTAACCTCCCGAGATCTCTCCGAAAGAATATTCTTTTATATTGCAGAGGAGTCAATGAATCCCGTACTTATACGCTAGGGCTCCTGCCTCTCTATCTGCATTCCCCAGATATATACTCATCACACCAAACGCACAACAAAATACTCCCTGTCCTTGGAAAAGCAGCGCGCCGCAACCAGGGAAGGGTGAACATAAAGGACGCGGGAGATCCCACGCAGAATCAGCTCTCGCCCAGCGGCGGCGGAGGCGGCGGCGGCGGCGGCGGCGGCGGCGGCGGCGGCGCGCAGGAGGGAGCGGGCGACCCGACCCACGGTAGGCCGCGACGCATCACACCACCCGACCGCCGCCGCCGCCGCCGCCGCCGCCGCCGCCGTCTCGCCCCATCCGCACCCCGCTTACATCAGCTTTCGGGCGCGCGGTCGCTACAGGCTAGATGGAACGAGGGGAACTTTCCTCTCTACACCATCGCCATCCTCATTTAGGCACAGTTTCATTTACTGATAACGTGCGTGGGTTATGTTTCGCAGTGTCCACCGCGCAATTCTTTTCTGGGAGATACGAGTAATGTGGATGCAATGCCCGTTCAGAGCAACGTCTACAACTATCTGCGCTTCATTGAGAATTCACTGAGAAAGTAGATTGAATTATCTAATGGAATACAAGGCTCAAGGACAGTTATGTTGTTTTTTTTGTGAGATGTCAATACAGGGACGACCATGAAATTTAAATGCAAACAATTCGCTATTATTCCTTAGGCCAACTGAGTATTCTGAATCCAGGCTATTTTGAATAATTAATTTATCCTTTTGTACTTCAAAACATGTGAATAATTTTCAAGCGACTTGTCGATTGCCGATCTAGCCTGAAGACCTGACGGCGACGATAGCTGAGCCATCGAAATGTACTAATCTAATAAAGTTCCTATAATGAAACAAAATGGTAGCAATGACAAGGCCTTTTATTCGATTGCGAATTTAGTTTACTCTTTCACACAAATCCATACAAAGAGAATCCTCGTGAAAGTTCACTTCTGCCTGCGCAGGAAATGCAGTTTGGGGCAACGTACCGGAGGCGTATCTCAGAAAGGAACACTTCAAGTGTGTTTGGAAAAAGATAGGGCGATAGAATGTACATAGTCATGGAGTAGCGTTGCGATGTTGTATAAAAACGTACAAACGTAGGACGACAGACGTCTGTGGAGAGGGACGTCTACGAAAATAAACTAATTCTTGAGCGAGGCAAAAAGAAAAAGAAAAAGAAAAAGAACAAGTTTCCTGGACTTCTATAGCCGGGGAGGCGTGTTCCTGAGAACAGGTTCCGGGCGGTCACCTTGTGATTATGCAAGAATAAAATGATTTGCGTGCAGCGAGGCTTAAATGAATTTTCGCACCTTCGGAATATAGATAATAACTGCAGTCAGCAAATACAGTTCGATGGCTATATATAGCAGCTAATACGCATCGTTAAATGTGATGTCATAATGATCCTGAATTACAGCATTAGCATAAAGAAAACAAGTAGTGTAGAACGGCTGCAATAAACAGGAAATCCTGAGTATTCTAAATTCCCTGTAGTTATGGCCAGCCTTTCCCGAGGGAAAAAATTAAAAGGTTAAGCGGTTGACCTCCGAAAAACGATCATTATTCCCTCGGTTTTTTGAGTTGCGACCGATAATTTCTACTAAGATGTGCCCTTTTCTCCACCCCTTATTGGCGTCCGCTGCAAATCTCACATACTACGTACTTGTTTAGTTCCTTGGTTCGTACATCATTCTCATTTATAAAATTCCAAGTCTAATTCCCTGTAAGTTGTACACGTTTCAAGAACCTGATAAGAAACAATAGACAAAGCGTTGATATTCTCGGAATAAAAAAAAAAAATTGGTATGTTTCCCATTGTTGTCAAGAAAGGGATAATATCCGTTCATAATGAAATTTCTTTTATATACATCGTCGAGATGCTTGGCCAGAGCCGCCAGTCCGTCGGGCAACAGTTAAATGGCCCCAAAATTATTCAGCAGCCGCGTCCCGTCTTGCCTTAAATGGCGCGCGCCTTCCGGACGCGCACACCTGGCCCCGGAAGCGCGTCCCCCGCAGGCGGAGCGGAGCGGGGAGGACCGGCCAGGCCACTCGCTTGTTTACGCGTTCCAGAGCGCCGCCTACCTCCGCCTCCCCGCCACGCCACGCCGCGCCGCGCCTCGCCGGCCGGCCGGTGGGTCAGCCGGCCTGGCTGAAGCGGCTGACGCCGTCCTCTTCTCTCGGGCGACGCGCAATATTACAGACGCGAACACGGTGGACAAAAATCGCATTTTCCTGCCCAAGTTTCTTTCTCGGAGGAGGAACTTGGACGAGTTCGTAAGTCGTGTTTTTATTTCGGCAAAGAGTACAGTGTATCTGTATACATTGTGGACAAATGGGAATAAATTCGAAATAGGCTGAATGGTTTTACTTGTTGATTTCTACAAGTTTGTTTGGATGTATTTAGTAGAGAAAGCGTTTAGTAACAGAATAGCAAAACTTACTATGCTTCGACTGTCCATGGCCAATTTTTAAATTACTTTGATTTACAACATCGATATTTAATATTGTTGCAATACCCATTGAATGTGTAAGTTATTTTCTGCTACCCCATCGACTTGGGTGTGGGTAAAGAGAAACCATTGTTGTCCAGCGAGTTCCGAGCCAGGAGAGAAAGAAGGGTGGGGAGGGTGTGCAGGCTCACCTTGAGCGGTCTGAGAAGAACTCGAACTTGGACTTCTTCTTGCTGGCGACGCCGCCGCTGGCGCTGGACGCGCTGTGCACGGGCGACGCGCTGTGGTCGCTGGCGGACGCGGGCGGGGACGAGCCGGTGGACGAAGACAAGGACTGGCGCGCCACGCACCTCCCCATCAGCTGCGCCTCGGAGGCCGCGCGCCCCGCCCGCCGGCGCCGCGCCGCCACGCCCTGCCCCACGGCGCTTGTGCCCGCCCCGCCCCCGCCGTTAGCCACCGCGCCCCGTTGTTGTTGGGAGTGGTAGACAGGGTGCGCAACAGCGCCAGCGTGTTGCCTCGTGTTTGAGCGTTGCGTTTCTTCTTTCTTCTTGGCGTCGTCCTCCATTTCGGCTGGCCGGACCGCGGACGCCGCGGGCGGCATCCAGTCAGGTCCCTTCTTGAAGGTGGCCGCCGGCTGCACAGGCATCCGCACGCCATTGAACGCCAGGTCGTACCCCTTCTATGGTCCAGAGGTTCTAGTGGCCGCGTGGCGCTCCGACCACGAGCGGCGCGCGCCCGCCACGACTTGAGGTACGTTGGAGCACCCGTCTGCTCCCACGCGTCGAAGCACTCGCGGTGATGTACTGCCCCACGCTGCAGTGTCGTTGTTTGCAGACACTTCACGCAGTCATGCAGGTCGTCGAGGCAGATGAGGCGCGATCGCCGTACGCGGCCAGCTGCGGTGGTGGTTGCCGCCCCCGTCCGCCCCCGCCCGCGCACGACGCGCGCAGCACTCCCCGGTGGGTACGCAGGCAGCGCGTCACGTTCGCGTCGTGGTTCTCGATGGTCTCCGGTCGATGCCCAGGCCGGCGCGTCGTTGGCTGCACGACGCCCCGCCCGCCGTGGCCGGCGCGCCGCCGTGCCGTGCCCGTGGTTCCGCGTCGGTGGCCCATTCGCCGGTCGCCGTCTCACGAGCGCCGTTACGCCGCGAAACGCCTTCGCGCACCAACACTCAGGCGCCTGCGCCGCAGCTCAGCCGTCCATCTACGAAGCACAAGTCCTGCTTCCGCGCGCGGGCCAGCACGCCGCAAGCCCTTGCACTCGCGCCTCCTCACGCGCACGTCTCCGCGTCGCACCGTCGCCGCCCGCGCCCGCCAAAGGTAGCATACACACAAAGGTCCTGGGCCTCTCGCCCGCTTGTCCGTGGCGACCGCGTTGCGCCAGCGCTCGCTCGTTCCGCCGGGGGACTCCGGGGCGGGACGGCTCGCTCGTGTTGACGCTGCGCGCGCGGGCGCCGCTCCTTCAGCAAGGCGCTTTTCCGAATACAGTCACCCAAACAACACACACTGCCCAGCCTCGCGCGCGGCCACATTCACCAAGCCGACTGGACGCGCAGCCAAGCTGCGGAGGGGGGGGCGAGCGGGGGCGGCGGCGGGCGGCGCGCGCGGGAGCGCGTCTCGTTTCGCCGCGCCGCCGCCGGAGGCGCGCGCGCCCGAGGGGCCTGCGCGCCGCAACGCTCGCTTGCCATTGGACCGCGCCGTGGTGGGAGCCCCGCGCCACAGCGACGTCACGTGCTTAACCCAGAAATTACTGGCTACGAAAATTTCCCTTTCAGTTCTACTATGGTTCCGTGCAGTCCCTTACGAGAGAACGCGGCTTGGTTTTCGACAACGAGGGGCGAGCGGGCGTATGGCCGACCCGGCGGGCGCGGCGCACGGCGGCCGGAGGAATACACGCTGCGCTCACCGGTGCTCCGCCGCGATGCGTGCGTGCGAGCGGCGGGAGGCGCGAAGGGCGGACCGAGTCACAGTTGTGGGGAGGCGGCGTGGCGTGGCGTGGCGCGGCGCGGCGCGGCCTGGCGCCCCCATTCGCGGCCAAGCGCCGGTGACGGCCACGCAGACGCCGCGCAAACAAATAACACTCCTCTCTGCCAGGTGCGGGTTAATGACCGGAGCGGATTAGAAAACAGGGATGACGGGAGGGAGCGTGCGGGACGGTGTTAAGCATTCTCGCACACTTGAGCGCTGATAAGGCACGTACGCTCCTCGGAACAAAAACAAACAAGCGAGAGAAACAAAACAAAAGGAGCTGGCTTCAGGACGAGCGCTGAGGAACACAGACGAAGAGGATTTTCTTTCTCATAAAGCATTTTCAGCCATACTAAAGAGAACCGTGCTTCTTTGATAGTTTTTATGGACAAAATACTTCAATTTAGATATTCGAACATGTTATTTTACCAGATCTTACTAGTTTATAAATTATTCTAAAGATAAATTTAAACTTTATTTTTAAAATTTAAACATAATCCATTTCCATGTTTGAAAAATCGTCTCATACTTATCTTGCTTCAGAGAAAAATGAAAAATCTCTTCTGTCAAATATATATATTCTATTATTAATTTATTCAGTTTTGACCTTCGACAAATGACAAGTGACCACACAGGAAAAAAGTCGTAATTGCATAGAAATAACTTGTAACTGAACAGATAGTAACAGTTGAGGTCAAATTCTATCTTGCACTAATAAATGTTTTTATAATTTGGAGGGATATAATATATTTTTAATTATTTTCTTTACTGCATTATACACACCTTTAACATTTCGTTCAAATTGTGTTCCCGCCTACTTTGCTTGTAAGAAAAAAAAATGAACACAAACAAAATACTTTAAACAACAAATGTAAAGGAGTCTAGAAATAAGCGAAGCGGTCTGAAAGATTATATATTGACTATCCACTGCAAAATAGCAAAATAACCGCAATAGCTAGGGTTGCACTGAATTCTAGCTATGCGAAAATTATGCAGGACTGCATAATTTCAATGTAATTGAATGCATATGTGGTTCTGGCACAAGGATGCTCCAGATTTATATCCCCACTTTTGTTGTATTGTACCTTGGCTTTTTTTTTTAACTTTCTCAAACTTACGTATGAAGAGTAAGCTGTGGAATCTTGCGCCGAATTTTCGACAGATAGACTTATTGCCGGAACCTGGAAAAGAAAAAAAATGAATATATCCTGTGGGTATATGTTGGTACATATGGGGCCAAATAAATTCAAATTTGGCGCCAAGCTTCACTCATTTTGACAATTGTTTGAGGTATTTGGGAGGTACATTTCAAACGTCGCGCTTTCGAGATTTGGCCCAAAACCCGTGAGTTCACTGTTACAAGAAGCAAAAAATAATTTGGGATGAAACTCTTTGAAAGATGATTGATAGATCGCACCACCTCCTCGTTTGCCGGCGAAAAAGCTTTGCACACTAGTAATTTCCCTGAATCCGATTTCTTTTCACATAAGACGCAACGAGATCGCATTGTTTGAGAATCTGGAGCCGCGAGCAGTTTCGTAGCGTAGAGAAGCTTCTAAGTAACACGCGTATTGGGCACATTGAAAGTTGGTTTTGTACGCTGGCAAGCACTCCTACTTGCAGTCTCCGTGACCCAGCGCTTTGAGACCGGGCAAAACAGCAGAAAGCATGAATAACGAATAGAATCCGTTACGAGAATGTTTATTTTCGTCGAGACAAAAGTAACCATGACCATACTTTCTCGCAATATAATTATGGTTAGCTAATATCATATTAGGACCATTTGTCTTACACTTCAACTATCATTTGAAAAGTTCTTAAACAAAACGCGTAAAATACATACTTTTTTTTTAAATTCAAACGTTTAAACGAAAGCAGCTTTCTGTCAGTGTATTCGTATTCTGCATAAATGAACCAACGATTTCCGATGCGTATTTTAGTCATAAATAAAATTATTGGTATATATTAACGCGAACCAACGGCGACTGTCACTTTCGCGTTCTGTTATCGAGGTGCCGTTGGAACAATTGGTTGCAACACTCAACAAACCCCGCTGGCTTCGTATGGCATACACATTTGCAAATCAACAATTTCGATACCACTGGCAAGAAAATACAAATGTATAAAAAATATAATAATTAAATATTTGTTAAATTCATCTAAACTACTCTTTTCTACACGTAATACTTTTCATTCACACACTTACCATGCAAAGCAAAATGATCCGATCGTTTTCACATTTAACTCAATTAAATATGCTTCTTAGAATAAATTTAATGCTTAAATAATATTAAATGTAATCTTCTTTTTAAGATTCTAATGACTGCCTTCAAGCACTCTTCAAATTACATTTCCATGGGAGAGACACCGCCTCAAACGAATCGCAGGATTTTTTATTTCCTATTTCGATCAATTTTTCTAATTTTCGAAAATACAGAGAGTGCCGAAATTGGAGCCAGCACCATTTAATTGCCGTAAATTACTACATACGCGAAGAACACAATTAGAGAAGAAAATTGAATTTAAAATTTCAACGAACACGGGACCTGCACTTGAGTGTTATTTGCGATATTCGATATGTAAATTAAATGTAAAAATTTGGTGCCGTTTTCGAGAAAAAAATTGTTTAAATAAAATTAAAATTGCCCTATTTCACGCAAAGTTACACAAAAAGAAGGCCTTTTCAAATTTAAAAAAAAAAAAAATTCCTGGCGTTATTTCAAAATCCGTATTTAAAGAACAAATTTTATTAAGGAAAAAATCTCTATCTTTAATATTTCAGTTGTAGAACAAAATTGAGTTTCTGCAATTTTCGAAAAATCAGGGATTTTAACGAAAATTAGACCTAACGACCCTTGCGCTATTCAAGGTCAAAATTTCATCAAACAATTTGATGCGATATTTTTAAATTTTGAAATTGTCCCAGAGGTTTCATATAAACCGGCCCCCCCCCCCCGATTAATTTAATGTCGGTTTTAAATTAAAAGGGCAGAGACATCGGGCAGATCGATTTGGAGATATCAATTTTGGAGAAAACTGGCTGAAATGTTTAGCCACTGGCGTTGTTCACAAATAGGCGGACATACGTTTTGATGTCATTCAATGTTTCGATATCAAGGACTCACAAAATATTGATTTTGGCTACACCTCGTGTTAGAGGAGTTTTTCTAAATTTAGCAACAGGTTTTATCCACTTTTTAGTTACCAAGGCGCTGTAATAAGAGTTTTTCTGCCGCCTTTAAATAACACATTATATAACTTCATTCAATAACTCTCTTCTTTTGAAGTACTTCGTAAGGGCCAGAAAGTGAAATGTTGAAGTCGTTTTTGATAAAATGATTATGTAAAGTACCTCCAAACATT